CCCCCCCCGGCCGCAGGACGAGGTTTCACTGCCAGCCAGTGTTTGTCAGTGCCAGCCTGCAAGTGACCAGTGGCCTACGGGGCTTCACATCTGTTGTGACAGTTCCTGGATTAGCCCCTGATGTGTCTAATGAATTAACTCTGGAATTTTGGAGTGGAGACAAGGCAGGAGAGAGGCTCCGACTGACGGCCTTGTAAAAATTTAGAGGCCCAGATATTGGGGCTTGTGCTGGCTGGCAGCGATGGGAGCTGTTCTGTGTACTTTGGGATTCAGGGCCTGTAAAGAAGTGTTTTGTAGCACCTGTTGATGTCATTTCTGGAGCAGAAATAGTCTGCAGAAGGATGGGTGTTGGACAAGGCATGTTCTGTCAGTGGTCCGTGGGTGCGTTTTGTTAGCCCTGGAGATGGACCTGGGGGAGGAAAGGCAGCGTGCCACGGACGAGAGGGCTGCGGGCATGACCCGAGCTCTCCAGACTGCCTCTGCAGCCTCACACAAGTCAGTTCACCTCTTTGTGCCTCAGTTTCCCCTCCTGAAGAAGATGTCATGTACCTATCTACCTCACAAAGGTGTTGTGAGGACATGAGGGTCAAACTCTGCACCCATGGTGACTCCCCACCTCGTAAGGGTGCAAGGTGGAAGTTATAGAATCACAGAATTCTGGCCAGAAGAGCTGTCCTCTGTCATACGTGTGCGTGTAGGATATTTAAAAGCTTTGTTATTGACGTGAATGTTCTTTATAGAACTGGAAAAATATTCACATTTTTGTCTTTAAAAGTGAGGAAAGTATTTATCCACAAAATGACCAGGTGCTTTTCTGAGCAGAAAACTACTTCAAGAATTATTTCATTTTTGTGCCTTTATCCTCTGTGCTCTTTCAAGGTGCTGGGCACCATAAACTCTCCACTGACTGTTGTTCCTGAGTGCCTCCAGCAGCACCCTGTCTACCCAGCTGCTGCATGGGGTGCAGCCTCAGCCTCTTCCGTGGGGTGGTGGAGCACGTGGATAAACACTGTTCTGCTTGCAGGGTTGGTCTGAGGAAGAGGCCAGTTCTAGTGCCAAGAAGTAGCTTGGTCACAGACGTTTGTCACACCTGAAGCTTTTCTCAGTCTATGAAGAAACTGAAACCAGGAACAGTTCGGCACCTCCTGTGCCTTGGCAGTCACCACTTAATGCTGATTTGCATCTGTAGGTATCTAAGTGCACTTGGGAAAGGAACTTTTTCTGCCTTCTGATGGACTTCATAATACGAGGACGTTTCACCAGTGCCAGGTACTTCGTGGTGCTCTTCACTATTGCAAGCAGCACACAGCGGAGCTTGCGTGGGTGGTTAACACTGGTCTCGCCTGTCTCGACCCATGCAGATCAAAGCTCCTCTAAAACCAGTTTCAGATAAAAGCCATAGGACAGACACTTCCCTGTCCCATCTGCAGAAAGGAAGGTTCTGAAAGTGCCCTCATCTCAACTAGGGAAGAGCTTCCCTCTGTTGCTCTGCAAGTAGAAAAAAATGTTCTTTTCATCAGTGGTCACACAGGGTGTTCTTTTCATCAGTGGTCACACAGGGTGATTTATTGACAGGAGTGCCGCGGCAGGGGGAACATACAGATGGGGCAATAAAGAATGCTGGTTTTATTATAACTGTGGTGTATTTGATGTGTCACCTCTCTGTCCTGTTAATAGCAAATGTTCCTTTCTGAGACACTTTTATAACATCCTGTGATTGATTTGTGTTTAATTTAAATGGGTGAGTTGCAGAATTCGAGCCTGGCAAATAAAAAACTGCTAGAACTGTCTCCTCTCTGGCGTGGATTGCTTCCTATGGAATACGGTGGAGCACTTGTTCCTACACTACCTCCCGCTGCAGCCTGGTATTGCTCCAGTAGGATCCAGGAGGGTGCACACTGTAGGGAATCAGCTCAAAGCAGAGATCTGGATCCTGCCCTGAGTACCCACAGACCTACGTGTCAATGGTTCCTGCTCTTTCCTCAGCTAAGTGGTAACTCAAGTTTCCACCTTTGAAAATGCTCAGGTGGGACCAAATCAGGTGGCATATCCTACACGCTGTCTCATTCATTTCAGAGTAGAAGACTCTAAGAATGTAAGAAACACAGCTGGTTTTTAAGAACTAATCTTACACAAACTCTCCAGTATAACAGGTACAAACAGGCTTTTCTTCAGCATCAAGCATGCATGTTGTCCTCTTCCAGTGCCCTGAGGAAACGTGTTATTTACCATGGGTAGTGCAAGGACAAGGGCTGTGTTACTGGAGCAAGGTTACATCCCCTTTCAGCACTGCAGGATAAATAACATGACAGATACCCGTCTTCATGGCATTTATTTTTCTTCTCATCAAAGGGGTTTTGCTTTAGGCACAGAAGTTGTGATGGTCCTAAGGCAGTGGCATAAAGGAATCCCTTTGACCCTCACTTCAAAACGCACACCACCAGAGCCAGCGCTGAAGGTGGGATGATCTTCAGTGTGCACTGCGTCAGGGTGGGTTCCTCGGCCACGCTGAGCTAGCAAACGGTTCCTGTTCTATCACGTGTGGGCCCTGGGTGCTTAACGGGTATGTCAGCCATCCAGCTGGCAGAACAGCAAGCAGTGCTGCCTGCAAGGAGCTGAATTAATGCTTTCCTATTTTCTGCTCACACTATAGAATGTCCTTGACTTTTCCTTTCTTCTCTCAGAATACCAAGTTGCTAATACTGTTTCTGCAAATGTTAAATGTCTCAAATGTGCAGAATCATTATATGGGCTGCTATTGCACCGAGTTTGTTCCTGGTAGTTCATGGACCGAGTTCATGGAGTGAGTCCAGAGGAGCCCACAGAGATGGTCAGAGGCTGGAGCAGCTCCCGTGCGAGGACAGGCTGAGAGAGTCGGGGGTGTGCAGCCTGGAGAAGAGAAGGCTCTGAGGAGACCTTCCAGCACCTTCCAGTGCTGAAAGGGGGCTACAGGAGAGATGGGGGGGCTCTGGATCAGGGGGTGCAGGGGTAGGACGAGGGGTTTCAGTTTTAAGCTGAAAGAGGGGAGATGGAGATGAGATCTGCGGAAGAAATGTTTTCCTGTGCGGGGAGTGAGGCGGTGGCCCAGGGTGCCCAGAGGAGCGGTGGATGCCCCATCCCTGGAGGGGTTCAAGGCCAGGCTGGATGAGGCTTTGGGCAACCTGGGCTAGTGGGAGGTGTCCCTGCACATGGCAGGGGGTGGCACTGGATTATCTAAGGTCTGTTCCAACCCAAACCATTCTGCAGTTTGGCCCATGGAGACTCAAGTCCTCTGCTCAAGGATCTTTCACAGTTGTCAGCTTCACAGAAGCTTTTGCAGAATACCACGACTTGATAGGGCCAATGGCTACAGGTGAATATTAGTGACAAAACCAGGGCAATGAAGAATAATGTTACCCAGAGCCTAAAAATAGTTTATCAGGAAACCTACTCTCTTAACATCAGTTTCGTTTAAATAAACATGATAGAAAAGAGGAGGAATTTGTCAAAAATTGGTATTATAGAGGAGGGGGCTAGCTTTACTGTTTTATTCATTACTAAGATTCATTCTTCACTAAGATTTTGATTCTAGCATTTCCTGTATAACTGTTACTGTCCCGTTAGAGTTATTAGGGGTAAATTTTATACCTCCGCTAGTCTTACTTTATATCCTGACAAGATTTTTTCACCTGCAAAACTGCCAGGAGTTTTTTTCACGCACATGCATCTGGACAACCATTAAAATCCAGCTTCTGCTGTTAACAGAACACTCAAGGAAGAAGAAATAAGGTTCCTTGAAGGTTGGTGAGTATTTTTGAAGACTTATATCTAGCTGGTGGTTACCTAAAGTTTGCTTAAAAATCTTCTGGACTCAGGATTTTACACTGTTGTCTTGTGGTGAATAAATGACAACATGAAACGCCCCGTTACTGAACTCCGGTGATGCAGAGTGTTTCACAGGAAGGCATGCTTTCTGAGAGTTTCTTTTTGGCTGTTTGCCTCCATGACTGTTTTGTTTTAATGGTCAGCTGTCCCCTTCACATGCCAGACTGAGGTCTATTGAAATCCTCCTGTTTAGGAGCTCTGCAGCAGGGCTGCACCGACCCCACCCCGCTGATGATCGTGGTGTTGGGGCTGCTAAGGCCAACTGCTTTTCTAACACCAGCAGGTTCTGTGCCTGCTGGGCTTTGCTTACACATTTGTATGTATGTGTATGTGTTATATATGTGTTATACACACATACATAATGTGTGAGAAAGTTGTCTAGATTGCTGAAGTGTATAAATTAGTCTGGGAAACTGTGAAAAGACTTGTGACAGCATATGCATTAAAGGGACACAGTGTGAGTGTAAAGCGAGAAGCCAGGAACTGGTTTATTAAGGCTTTTTTGTAACGTACTCAAGCTTTAAGCAAGTTGCTTGACTTTTCTGTTTCAGCCCAAAATGTTGTATTTC